AATCAAGAACATTGTTTTTGCAATGTATATAAATATTATGCATTCTTTGAAAATTTAGCACACTGATTTCACATTTTGTATTTCATAGCTAAAGGAACACCAGCATGCAACTCAACACCTGACACTCACCTGATCAAATTGCCATTAGACTGCAAGCAGCCTGGAACAGAATCCAAGTTTTACAATGCAGGTCGCTGTCCACACAACAAATGCCCTGGATCGTTGGACTTTGACATGCGTTGCAGGGATGGATCTGGCTTCTGCTGTGGGGTCAAACAAATGGATGCTAGAAAGATCAAATGTGGCCGTTACACCTTGCCTATCAAGGTTGTTACTGAGTGTGGCTGCCAGACTTGTGTAGAGCCCAAAATTCTTGTACGGGGCAGGGTGGTGTCAGCAGACAATGATGAACCCCTGCGCTTTGGACATATTTACATAGGGAAGGAACGGATAGGTACCACAGGATATCAGGGTGGGTTCACAATCCAGGTGTCTCCAGATACAAAGCGTCTTGTGGTAAACTTTGTGGACCCTTCTCAGAAGTTCATTGATACAATCAAGGTTTTTATCTTTGACAAGAGAGGAGGTTCTGTCTATCATGATGTAAAAGTGATGAGGAAGCAGGAACCTGTTGATATAAATGCTGCAGAAAGCAATACCATTTACCTAGGTGAAATGAAAGATGAGGACCCCATCGGTCAACTGGTCATACCTCCAAACTCTTTCCATAAAAACACAGGGGAAGTGTACGAAGGGACTGTTAAGGCCAGTGTCACGTTCCTTGACCCACGCAACATTACCATGGCTGCTGCCGCTCCTGGCGATCTCAACTTTGTAGACAATGAAGGAGACATGCTACCTCTCAGGACATATGGAATGTTTTCAGTAGATTTCCGAGATGGAGCAAACCAGGAGGTTCTAGGAGCCGGCGCAGTCCAGGTTCTCCTTGATACGGAGCATGTAAAAATGCAGGAGCACATCCCTGCTATGAAACTCTGGTCCCTCAATCCCGATACAGGCATTTGGGAGGAGGAGAGTAACTTTCAACCCACACAAACTACTATTACTGGCAGCGGGAGGAACAAACGAGAGGAGCGCACCTTCCTGATAGGGAATATGGAAATCAGGGAGCGTAGGTTGTTCAATCTCGATGTACCTGAGAATCGCCGGTGCTATGTCAAAGTGAGGGCGTACATGAGCGACAAGTTCCTGCCCAACGAGCAACTAGAAGGAGTGGTAATAAACTTGATAAACCTGGAGCCTAAGCCTGGCTACTCGTCAAATCCGAGGGCTTGGGGACGCTTTGATAGTGTGATAACAGGACCAAACGGTGCTTGTCTTCCAGCTTTCTGTGATGCCCAGAGGCCTGACGCATACACGGCTTACGTCACGGCTATAATGGGAGGTGAGGAACTGGAAGCAGCTCCCTCAATGCCAAAAATGAACCCAAACATTATTGGTGTGTCTCAGCCGTACTTAGGGAAGTTAGATTACCAGCGCTCCGATCATGAGGATCCAGCACTTAAGAAAACAGCTTTCCGAATCAACCTAGCCAAACCAAACCCTAACAATTTTGATGAAACGAACGGACCAATCTATCCTTATCAGAGTTTAATTGCATGTGAAAACGCACCTGTTGATGCCAACCACTTTCGTTTCTTCCGTGTCGAGAAAGATAAATATGAGTACAATGTGGTACCCTTTGAGGAGAGTGACCTCACATCTTGGACTGGAGACTATCTTTCCTGGTGGCCAAATCCACAAGAGTTCAGGGCTTGCTACATCAAAGTTAAGATTCATGGAGCTACAGAAATCATGGTAAGGTCAAGAAACCTGGGTGGCACTCATCCTCAGACAAGAGGTCAGTTGTATGGCATTAGAGACATTCGTAGTACCCGCGACTTACACCATCCTAACACCTCTGCTGCTTGTCTTGAGTTCAAGTGCAGTGGGATGCTCTTTGATCAAGGTATTGTAGACAGGTCACTAATTTCTATCATCCCACAAGGTAACTGCCGTCGTGTAGGCATCAATGGTCTCCTGCAAGAGTATCTGATAAAGCATCCTCCTGTTCTTCAGAACAATGAGTCTCATGCATTCAATATGTTAGCTCCTGTTGATCCACTTGGACACAATTATGGAATATACACCGTCACCGACCAGAACCCACGGGTTGCCAAAGAAATTGCCATTGGCCGCTGCTTTGATGGAACTTCAGATGGTTTTTCCAGGGAGATGAAGTCAGATTCTGGAGTGGCACTGACGTTCAGCTGCCCTAAAAGAACTGTGAATCGTGAGAGCTTATTCCAGCGCTTGCAAACAAATCCTGGCCTAACACTAACACAGATGGCACGGGAGATGAGGGAGTCCCAGGGACTGCAAGTCAGAAGAGGGTCAACACAAATGGTGGCCTACCCTTTTGGCCAACAGGGCAGGAGCCAGAACCGCAGAGCCACGAACACTAACAGAAGGAGACCAGCTACAAGGACACAACCAAGACAGTAGATCTTTCTTTAGGTGAGTTCTCAGAGTGCACTTTTTAAAAAATAATTTCAAGATGTTGATGAAAATCAAGTGTATGTTTTCCATCCTCATGCAGGTCTTTTGGGTTGAAGAGAGTGAAGAAAAAAGACTCAAAAAACCTGCTATGGAAATACCAAACTTGGCCAGCCGGGTGATATTGGATCCTCTGTCCTAACAGAGCAAAATCCTCACCTGATTTATCCGAACACATTTAAACTCTTTCTACTTGTGTATGGAAAACTGTCCTCTCATACTTCCTCAAAGTTTACGTCATTGTTTAAGACATTTATTTTTAGTGATTAGGCCAAGTACTCTACAAGGTTCATACAGACTTATGTCATTTATTTATTTCCAAAGTCAAAACTTGCTTATGTGGAGCGTCCTACTTTTAGATCTGTAATTATTCACAAATTTTCTCTAATTGATCAGTGTCTTCCATTGATGATAGGCTAAATAGGTGAGACAAGTCTGTATGGGTTGAGGTCAAGTGTGACAGCTGCTAATCCTTTCATCAACCACATATTCTACTCTATTGGATGTAATGAACAAGACCCAAGGCAGCAAAGATGCTCGTTCTGTCTCGCCTCCTTTTCCACGTCGCCATTCCAGTTGTGATTTGGCCAACTATTGGTCTGACCAAAGCATGACTGACCCCTGCCAAGAATAGCATCCCTTAAAAGAATGGATCACCAAGGTAGATTAAACAAATCTGTGGTGAGACAAAGAATAATATAATGGCCCTAACTTCAAACACAAATTAATGTTTCTTTTTTTTTTTAAATGCCCTCTTCATTCTTTTGACCATATGGCTGGCCTAATCAAAATTTCTTTTGATATGAAATCCAACTAATACAGTATCTCAATGTATGATGTCTAGATCTTAGAGTAAACTGATTGTATTTTGTTTCTTGTTTCTGTTTGTCTCCTAAAGTGCAATATTGTGTTCCAGTAATGACTTGAGAGTCCTGACAAAAACGTCCTATGTTATGAGCCAATCAACCATAGGTCTGTTAAAATGTTGGGCTATTCCCTTAGTAATTGCATATCTGAATTTCAAATTACATAGCACCTGTTTTTTAAACCTAATACTAATGAATTTAAGCTTGCTAATCCGATTCAACCTCCTCTCATATAGCCAGCTGACAATGCAACATAAATGAAGTTGCAGTATTTTCACTCCACCCTAAAGTAACAAAAATCCAATTGTGTGATTTCAACCATTAATGGACCATAAAAAACCATGTGGACCTGCATAAGCTGGACATTTGTATCTTTTGAGGTATATTTTGTAGGTAGCATTGCAAATAGGATTTCATTATGGTAATTCTGATTTGATTTGTCTAATCCCTTACGCTTTCAGTATTCTGTATTGGTTCAAAGGAGAAAGTTAATTGAGTTGAGGGATTACAGTGCATGATTTAATAGATAATGGTGCAAAAGTTTATTTTGTCTGTGCATCCAAATATGTACAGTTGGCCCAATGCAGGTAGAATATAAACAATATTAAAATAATATTCTAAAACCAAATCTTCAAAGAAACAAAAATATACCTCAAAAAAATTTGATTAATTGGAAAAGTCAGTCTGAATAAAAGTGAGATGAACAGAATAAAGTGTTTGGGAAATAATCCAATAGAGAAATTTATAATACTGTGGCACATTTTTTGATTGAACACAAAGTTGCTGAGTTTCATAACAGACCAACTGTAATCAGTCATTAAAATCTGAGATTTTTCAATAACATTGCAATATTTAAAAAGTATGTTAAAATGTGTCATTAACAGGAACATTTTTACAGTCATGGCTGACTAATGAAGAAACAAAATATGTAACTGTAAAACACATTACTTTAGGCCAAGTACACACTTAAAACTAATGAAAATTATTTTTTCTATCCCAGACAGTCTCACCTGTAAGTGATGTTGAGTCGTACATTTGTAACTTGAATAAATTTAAACTTCTGTAATTTTGTAATATATCCAGTTAAAGTAACCTTTGGTCTTTTACATGTAGCATATTTAGCTATACTGTACATTTCTGTTTCAGAGGAAAGATGGAGTTGGATATTGGATGAATATGGTGCTAAAAAATTTGTTGGCCTCCAGTTAGCTTTCAAAAGTGTTTGTCCTTGCTTCAACTGTCTGGCTGGTCTCAGGGAGACTAAAATTTTTGCTGGAATATCCTCTGGCAAAATGTGCATTGATAACTCTACCACTACACTACAAAGTGAGTTGAATAGTTGCCTTTGCGCTCTCAGAAATCTCTTTTTATGCTTGCTTCACAAACATGTTACATACAACACATCCTGAAAATCTATGCAAATCATATTGTAACTTATACTGCATGAAATTTCCCATCTTGCAATCTCAAAAGCCAGTTTTGTGTGTAAATTGTGGATTACAATGTCTGTCAATTTTACCAGAATGTAAATAAAGAGCTCTTGTAAACATGTTCTGTTGACATTGCTTTATTCCATTAAACTTAAATAAAAAAGATGTTTTTTTTATTTTTTCCCAGCGGTGAAAGTCATTTCTACCTGACACTCAAGAGGGCTGGATCTGGTATAATTAAGGAAAGTTACAACTGCAAACATTTATTATGGCCCTAGAGAGAAACACATTAACATCTCTGGAGTGCTAACAATTATGAATCTAAAACTATGACTAATTAAGCCGCTGAAATGTACAGCTGACTAAATAAACTGTCCGTGACCCCATTTTCCCTGAGTTCAATCAATCTTGCATATACATTTGGCCAACTTACATTTTAAGATATTCACAATTTAAATAAATCATAAAATATATCATCTAAATGTCAGAAAACAATGTTCATTTTAGTTCATTGGAAGTAATTTGCGTACAACATTAAAGAACAATTTATCTTTGATTCGTAGTGTATATATACAAATTGTCACAAATGTTAACAACTGCTCCATTGGGAACAGGAAAGTTTATTCAACTAAAATTCTGCATCTTTTTCAAATATTACGAGATCCAAGCAGATGTTTTAGTTCGAGGGATCAAAACATTGCCGTAACCAAGAACTTCAGTTCTCCTTGACCTGGCCGAAAGGTTGTAACGAGAGCTCACTTGCGTGCTTGACGTATACATTGTCGTCCTCCAATTTCACTTCAAAAACTTGTTGCTAAAAAAAGAAAAGAGAAAACTTTACATTTTGACAAAGAAATAAAACTAAGCACGCCTGCAATGCATCTGATTCTATTTCTGCTTGGACAGCTGTAAAAGCCTACAGCTAGGAAGGAACTTTGATATACGAGCATGGTGGATGTTAAGCGGTGGTGGGAATAGTGTCTAATTACTGAACATTTCAAGGTGTCCGAGTCCCCCAGGATGACTGTCATAATTACGGATTGTTTTACATAGTCGTTGCCTTATATTGATTGGCCCAAGCTCACTGTCACGTCCAACCGCCCTATTATTTATATTCGCAGCATGAGAGAACACATTTCATCTGCTTATTAAAAAAGCAGACGTGTGGCTAAATTGAAACGTGCCGAAATGAGGGCAGTTTAATTCTTAGGAACGAGACTTTCCAAATGTCTGTCTGTTTGGCAGCACCTACTTCTGTACGATTCTGGTGATGTGCAATCCATTACCGCGTGAGATAATGTTTGGTGCCATACTGAGTTAAAGTGACGGCACAACAAATGTGGTTTTAATACGAAAATACAAGTGCTTTTCGGGGACGCTGAATCATCGACTGAATCACTGGCTAACTTAACTTGTTCATCTGGCTGCCTACTGCCCCTTTACTGCTGAGTAATGAAATTTGGTGTATACATTTAACGTTTAGGAGGAACATTCAGGCATCGCACTGATTAAAGAGAATGCTACTTTTATTAGAGCTTCATTTAAGATAATAACAAAAAGCAAGATAGATCTTCTTTCAAAACATAATCATGTCTTTAATCTGATTTAAAGGGGTCATATGATGCTGCTAAAAAGAACATTATTTTGTGTATTTGGTGTAATGAAATGTGTTTATGCGGTTTAAAGTTAAAAAAACACATTATTTTCCACATACTGTACATATCGCATCATATGACCCCTTTAACTTCAATGACTCTTCTGGATTCAATACCAAGTAGGCTTATTCAACTGCATTTGTTGTATAATGTCAGTTACCACATGCAATTGTTTTGACTCATCCCTTAGTTTTAAAAAAACGATGTGAACAGTGCCAGCATATGGTGGGTTTAAAGGGTGAAATGTGAAGCTCATATTATTGTTAAAGAACTTAATTCTTCCTTTAAAAAGCTAGAAATATTTTCATTTTTAGAGTTGGACTACTGCTCCAGAAAACTTCTAGGCCTAGTTATTTATCAGCAATGTAATATCTGTGGGTGTTGAACAGAGGTGTGTTGGCCTAAATATTAGGTATTTTGCCTTCTGTTTTTCGTTATTGGATATAAATATATGTAGAAATGTAGAAGAAGACAAGTTTAATGTGTTTCTTATTAAAGAGAACAAATGATCCACTTAACTCCATGTAAGCAAGAGAGTAACATCACTATCCTTCTTGGTATCCTTGTATGGAAGGTTTCATGAAAGATTGGACAAGATGACGAAGTGATTCCCCCCATATTCATTTTAACATGTATAATATTTTAGCAATATTTTTGGCTAAAAACCACAAAGTGTGTACTTTAATGTAATGTTTATTGCCTGGTCCAATTTACTTCCATTGTAACTGAAACTTAGGTAATCATTTTCTGTGGTAATCGACAATATGCCACAAATGTTGTCAGTGGGCTTAACGTTTACTGAACCTGGAATATTCCTTTAATGAGCTGAAATGTCAAACAAAAAGTGTCTCACCTGTAAACCTGTGCTTGATTTCCCCGTTTTGAGATTGAAGTCATAGTCATGCCAAGGACAGAACACCTGAAGAACACCATCGGCCTCCTCGATATCTCCATCACACAGCGGACCTCCTGAAAGTCAAAGCATTTTAACACTTAAACAAATTCTACTTGTCTGACAGAATGTTTAAAATCTTACAAAAATTTACCTTTAATCACATCAAAACATAAAAAGGCATCAGTTTCATATTAAGACACTATGACTACTAACAAACTGTGCTAACTTCTTATTTGTCGCCACGGCGATTAATAACATGACCTTTATGAAAATTAACCATGGTTTTATTATAGCAAAAGTGTAGCATTATTTTTTTTGTTGGACTGAATAACATTTATGTAACCACAGTTTTATGGTTATTGTAGTAAAACCACGGTTAATTTCTAGTTACCATAGTTTCACTATAGTTTTTTTTTTAATTCTTAGTAAAACCATGGTTAATTTTCGTAAGGGAATACTAATCATCATTATTATCATCTTCATCATTAAACAAAAATGAGACAGTCCGTAACGTTTGCATGAGATCACATATTGAAATGAGGTTTTACAGTACGAACCGCGTTGTATTAAATGACATTTAGGCGGCAACCACGGTTACCATGGTGATAATGACAGGGCGCGTAGAGAATGAGGCAAAACATCGCAGAACAGACAAAACTACGAAGCAAATGTGCCATTGCTGTCGCTGTTTGTAGCTCTCTGCTAGCTACATTAGCTTTGCACGCCGTTTTAATGCTTCAAGAATCGATATAAGCAAACAAAATGTGAAATAATTCGTTGTCATACCCGAATGAGCGCAACGAGCGTCCATCGCGAAGAATTCACCGTTCACATGAAACAGGCAAACATCCGCGTCGCGTCCATCAGACGAATAGATCAGTCTGCATTGTTTCTTGGACAGCTCCGACACAGGGCCTATTAGCCTCCAGGAAACACTCTCATCTTCTAGAGAAGTCATAGAGGTGGGTTAAAGCGGGGCATTAACGTGCTGTATTTCTTGTTTTATCTAAACACGATCAATTTCGCCTTACTGACAGTCGCTGCTCTCACGGGGTTGTCGCTTCTTCCTGGAGGCTGTACTGCACTTTGTCGCCGAAGGGGGGTCTCCAAAGAAGACTGGGAAAATGACCATTTCATAGTTTTTAGACATTTCTATGCAAATATTGATAATCACTTTTGATTTGAAACGTTTAAACTAAGCATTGTAACTAGGAAAAGGTGTGTTGAGATCATACAGATTAATAATAATAAAAAAAATAAGGTGCTTACACGGTTCTGGTAGTACTTAAAATATTGAGGGAAGGAAATTAAAACAAGCCAACAATGACTGGTTTATTACAATAAGCATAACTCAAAATCAAAGAATAAAGCTCTCAGTGATTACAGCAACAAACAAAAAAAGAGAAAAAGAAGAAAAACAGATCAAGCTATTTCACAATGGTGTCCTTGCTATTTCACAAAGCTATGATGTCCACCTTTGTGTTACGCAATCAGCTAGTCTTAATCAAATATGTGTCACTCGTTTTGTCTGTATTATTTATAATCAGCATAACTTATTCCATAAGCATAATCAGACATGCACAAAAAAGAGTAGTAGCCTACGTTGTGCATCACTTTAGACCACAATGCATCTTTGTTCTACCAAATAAAGACCTTATTCGTGCTGATAAAGTGCAGGTTGCATTTACATTAATACAAGTTGCTTGCTGGATGCGATGTGACTGAACATCTGGTCGAGCACTATGGAAAAAGGGGCAAGGCCAGTGTCCAAAAAGCTTTGTACTGTCTCACTCCCTGCACTAATCTTTAATAGTGAGTGAGCTGAATAGACCTACTTAAATGAGAGAACCATTCTGAACAAATGCTAAGACAGCTTCACACAGCACAGCATGAGCATTAAATGTAGGCTAACAGGCTCTCTGGTCAATTAAATCCAAGCTCTAGACAAACACTCAAAGCCTATTTATCATTAAAAGCACTTCACATTCTCATTCTCCTCAAATGAAGAATTTTCAAAAGCCAGTTGAGCCATGTTGTAAGTGGTAATTTTTTATCTGCTATTTTTAAAATCTATTATGTACATTATATATTCATATTTAGTTTTTTTTAAATAGAACTTTCAAGTAGAATGTAGACATTGTCCTGCTATCTGACTGTTCTCTTCATGAACTACAGAAACATAGTTTTGATGAACTGAATTGTACAAAAATCTAGCCAAATATAGGTAGCCAAAATTGTCTGCACACTGGAAACATGCAATCAGATCAAAAAAGGTCTATCAAAAATATGTCTCTTATTTTTCATTTGAAAAAGTGACAAAGTGACAAAAGTGCAGGGTGTCTTAAAAGCAGACCAAGAGTAGACATTTCAGCCCATTATTTTCTTTTGGAGCAAGATATATTTTTGATAGACCTTTTTTGGTCTGATTGCTTGATTTCAGTGTGAAGACAATTTCTGCTACTTGGTTTTTGTTTACGCACCTGAGAACTTCTTGGCTTTTCTTTTTTGAGTGCATACAATTTCTACTAGAAATATGCAATTTAAATATATACTGGAATTATCTAATTGGTGGCTACTTTCAAAAATGATTGGTCATGAATTTACATTGCACATGTAAATTTAATACATTACATTGTATTAAAAAAACGAACTATATTATTTTGTCACCAACTATTAAAGGAACAGTTCATTTAAAAAGTGAAAATTCACTGAAAATGTACTCAACCTGAGGCCATGCCAGATGTAGATGAGTTTGTTTGTTTTTTCATCTAAACAGATTTGAAGAAATTTAGCATTACATCATTTGTTCATCAGTGGATCTTCTGCAGCGTGCCGAATGGGTGCCGTCAGAATGAGAGTCCAAACAGCTGATAAAAACATAACAATAATCCACAAGTAATCCACATGACTCCAGTCTATCAATTAAGGTCATGTGAAAAGCTGCATGTTTGTAATAAACAAATCCATCATTAAGACATTCATAACTTCAAACCATTGCTTCCAGATGAGTCCTCCGGTGAAAAAGGCGTCTGAATTAGGAGAGAAATATACACAGGTCAAGCACCGTTTAAGCAAAAACAATTCTAAACAAATATGTTGGTGGATTTTAATGCGAGAGAACAACAGGGATGGCCTTTTCACTGCCTTATTATGGATTCATATTTTGGCCAGAAGCAACAGTTTAAAGTTCAAACAATGATGGATTTGTTTCTTACAAACACGCAACTTTTAACTTTGCAAGATGTATTGAGAATTTCATCTTTAACCTAAAAAGTTGAAAAGAACATCATGTCCATATCCATTTGTCAACTATTGCGAAAGCTCAAAACAATGCAGTTACCTGCATTAAATGAGGATTGTTCTGATTGTATTTAGTACAATTATTTGTTGCCCAGAATTTCCATTGTTTGAGAGAAACCAGACAAGGGACTTGCACCAGCCTTCTGGCACGCAAGCAAACTCAGTACGAGTAGTTTTCCATGCTTGGTACAGTTTCACAAAGTGACTCATTCTGTGCCCGCACCACTTCAAGAACAAAACTCCAATCACTATAATTCTGTGTGAGAGAATATTTTTTTGGCATGTTGCTCGAAATATTCTCCCATATAATGTTTAGTTACACAGTGAGCTATATCTAAAAAATATAGGTTTGCACAAGCTCAAAATGTGACTGCAACATGACGTCATTTGTCAAATGAATGTTCCGAGCACAGCTTACTGTCAGTCTTAATATTTCAGTCATAAACCTGTTGGCTTCCATTTAAATAGAAACAAGTTCAAACTAATTCACAGTCAAAAATGACATCATCCTTCATAAAGGTCGGCTCTGAATATGCACATAACCCATAAGGTCTGCATTTATTAATACTTTCCTCCACTTAAAAATCAACATTCATGTAATGGTATTTACACACTGGCGGCCAAAAGTTTGGTAAAATGACGTTTTTAAAATGTTATAAGAAGTCTTTTATGCTCACCAAAGCGGCATTTATTTGTTTAAATATACAGTAAAAACTGTAATATTGTTAAATGTTACTACAATTTAAAATATATATTTTCTATTTGAATGTATTTTAAAATGTCAAAGCTGAATTTTCAGCATCATTACTCCAGTTTTCAGTATCACATGATTTTTCAGAAATTATTCTAATATGCTGATTTAGTGTATATATTAATAATACTAATAAATTAAATAGTAATTATAAATAATAGTATTAATATGCTTGATTCTACCTATTGTGACCTAATTTACCCTATTTTGTTTTTTACAGCAGTTATATTACATACAAATACCTCTGCAATGAGATTTCTTTAATTGCTGATTCTGGAAACAATATGTCAGTTCTGCTTCTCTCTTTCAAAAGTTCACCATTGCATGCTTTATTACAATTACATTATTTTATGAGGACTGTGATTATGGTGTCACAGAACTGAGATCATGCCAAGGCACACGTCTGGCAGTTAAAAATGAACACAGTGTTTTTTAGATGGCTTAAAGCTGATGATATAGCAACACAAAAATGCCAGACAGACAAAATGACTTTTGCACAGAAAAGCTCATGAGTAGCTTGCCGCAGGCAAGTTGGCCTTGTTGAAAATGCTCCTAATGACACAATACGGCAGCTCAGGCAAAACTTACTCAAGCTGTGCAGGATCCAATGATGCAAAATGTGGTTGTTCCTCCAGCATCTTTACCCTCAAATGTCTCCTAATCTTCTAGCTCAGCGCGGACACTGTGATCCTTGAAAAATGTGGTTTTCATTTATGTATGACCTGCTGAAAGCTTCTATTACATCAACAAAAAAATCAGTCAACAGCATGATTTGTTTCCCGCCAAAATTTCTCATTTGCAATTAGTGTGGCAGTCCAGCGGGTAAGATTGATTGAAATCTGCACAAATTATTCCCTAAAACACCTGTCCGGTGTTTAAAAAGGTTAAGGTCCCCCTTATCCCTGAGGCGCTGGAGAATTATAGTGATATCCATTCTCCCTTTCTGCCATTACTTTTCTTATCCAGACAAGACTGAGATGCAAGGGGAATTCCACAGGAAACAAAGCCCAACTTTGAACTTGGTTTACGGCTCTGCGAGAAACAAAAGCTGTTCCTTGGAGAGCCAGCTGATTAGGGTTCAACCTGGGCACGTTTGTATGTTGTCCAGAAGTTGAAATGGAAACATTTTAAGTGTCACCTCTCAATAGCCTTCTTGCTAAGTGGGTTTTGGATACAAAGTTCCTCGCAGAGACTTAGAGGGTTTGTTGGTCTGATCCTCAGGCCCGTACATCTTTCTTTTGGAGAACTCTTGTGGTTAACATAACAGGTATCATGAGACCACTGAACCTTGGAACCCGTACTGCAAGAAACATTTCTTTCCAAAATACATTCCAAATATATGTTGTAAACAGTGAAGAAAATATCTTCAATTTCCAATACAAGCATACTGAAAATATATATCAAATGGATGGACAAAAAAACATAAGGAAATATAATTTAAACTATTTATATAAATATATTTTAGAGTCTATATTAGCATAATGTTTCTATTTTGTGTATTTTGTGAACATTTTTCTCAGAATTTCTGAGTTTGTGTCTCGCAATTCCAAATTCCAAACACAATTTAGATTTTATTTCCCACAGTTCTGAGTTTGACTTTTTGAGAGCTGCAAGCTTATAATGCACAATTTTCACCTTATTTTTCACAGTTTTAAGTTTATATCTCACAGTCTAAGTTGGCAATTTCACAATTCTGACTTTTTTGCGAGTTTATAACACAAAACTTTATTTCTCTCCGTTTCGAGTTTGTGTCTCATAATTTGAGTTTACATTTTGCCATTCTGACTTTTTTTTCCCTCATATTTCTGAGTTTTCATCTCGCAGTTACATTGTTAACTCAAAACTGTGAGATATACACTCTGAACTGTGAGAAATAACATCAGAATTTGAGTTTACAGCGACTTTTTCCTTGAAATTCTAAGTTTACATCTCACGATTCAAATGTTAACTCAAAATTATGAGATTAACATTAAGAATTGCGAGAAATAACGTCAGAATTGTGAGGTCGCAAATACCTTTTTAACCTTCTTTTTTCATGCCAGAATGTGTTTCCA